TTCAAACAGATGCACCTCTGTAGTGAACAACAACAGAAAGAACTGAGAGTCAACTGGATAAAGGCAGAAAAGAACATAAGGGTGTGTATGCGTTAGAGTTAGCATGGGGGAATGACAAAGGACAGTCAAGAAATCACAGATGTGTAAGTCTGTAGGAGCCTGAATATGAAGGGACTTGTAGGAAGGCAGGAAGAGAAAGAGGGACCAGGGAGAGAAAAGAGTAACTGGAGAACCTAACTGTGGACTCTAAGCCATCACAAAGGGCAGATTAGTTTGCAAGATGAATTCTCCCTTGCAGATGTGTTCATCTGGGTGATACCTGGGGATATTGGGCTAGGGCGTAGCCTGTGGTAAAGGTTTGGAGAGAGACGAAGCATGGAAGTGAAGATGTAATGGGTCTGCAGAAAGATGCTGAAGAAAGGAGTAAACTGTACAAAGAATTATCTACTGAGATTGTCTTAATCAGTTTCTGCATCCTGACTTCCTGCCATTGCCTTCTGCACTGGAATGCACTTTTTGAAATTGTCTAACAAAGTCACATAATCCAGAGCTAAAAATAAGTGAGATGATGGAATCCAAAATGCCGATACGAAACCAAAAACATTCCCAAATAGAGTTCTTTATTATATTCCTTGACCCATACAATGGTGGCAGTGACTCTCTACTGCAGAGTTACAGGTGAATCCAAGCAGAATCCATTCTCTGTTCACTTGAGTATGTAAGATACGTATTCAGTCGCATATGTTTAGGGACTGAGAGACCTGCAAACAGTGGATTGCTCTTGTTCATGTAAACTTGAGGCCAGAAAGTGAGAAAGAACAGTAGAGCAGTTATCTTTCTGGAGGAAATATTTTCAAAATTTTTAAAAGCTGTGAGAGCAAATTAAACCTTCCTCAGTCTTCATTGGAAATTCCATGAGCATTACTTAAATACTAGCCTGATTGCCACAGGGTAGAGTGATAATCCCATAATCTAGTACCCATTTATAAAGAAGAATGAAATAGAGAGTAAAAGAGATTGCTTAATATTCAGCATATTCACCAAAAATATTTTGTCACCGAACATCTGTTACACAAGTAAAGTGACTGTGTCACTCAGCATTAAGATACACTCAGCATTAGGGTAAAATTGCTTCCTTCCAAGGTGGATTGGAATCATACAGGTAACTGTTGGGCTGTTTTGAATGTCCTCTCATAGATAGCCAAAGGAAATTTTCCTGTTGAAATGACAGGAATTCTCTGACATAACTTGTTCTGTTAGAGTGTATGTTGAGATGTCTTTATCATTTCAGTGATGAGCTTCCTCTCTGGCACCTATAAATGTATATTCATGGTAATCACAAGCAGTATCTTGTCAACAGCTATCTGCCATAAGTGATCCCTAATCCACTTTGTAATCATTTTTAAAGCCTCTTCATTTTCACTGAAAGGATTGTTTTGTTTAGAAGAATTCTTACTAATGTGCAAAATTGCCATTAGTTAAATCCATTGTAGAAGCTGAAAAGGAATACAAGTATAAACCTTCACAGCTGGAGTACAGATAGATGCTGTGGATGTAGCTTACAGTTCTCATTTTTCACATGCAGCATATGCTTGGAGAGTGCAGAACAGATGCAACTTGCTTAATGGGGCAAATCGCGTGCATTTTATCTTCGTGATTCCATGTTTGGACAGTGCAGTCCCTCTTTACCTGTGCTTATTACAACTCCTGATACACATGAATAGCAGTGGCAAAATATTGACATGGCTTAGTTTGAGCTAGAAAATAAAGGTTGCATGGTTTTCCTGTTTGAAGTCTGCTAAAATGGGCGTTATGCAGTGTACAGGTGGCAGCAAAAATGCAGCCTTAAGTGTTTTGACTGGGCTTAGACTGCTGCTGCAGGGGCAGGGCTTGGCATCTGAAGGAGCTCTGTGTTATTATCTACCAGGGCTGGAGGCCATGGCATCACCTGCTGGTCTGGTCCCCTGCCAGACCTGATCTGGCAGCAGTAAAAGGACTTCTCTATGCTCCTTTCTCCACTGCTTGAGTTGCTGCGTGAAGATGAAGGCAATCCTGTAGGGCTTCACAAGTTTGGAGATGGAATAAGCATCCATACTGGACATGATTCCTGCTATTTTCAGCATTTTATATGTGAAATTCTCTCCAAGTAACTTGGCATGTGCCCACTTTCAGTGAAGTCATGCCTCTTCTTTGTTGTTCATCTGAAGTGCTGGAGAATAAGCAGATTCGGTTTCATAACCTTGCTGCCCTTTTTCCTGTGGTTTAGACTTCATACTATTTCTGCTTGTGCAAAGATTGAAAATCTGCCTTTTCCTGACCCTGTTTGAAATATAGGGGAGCCACACAAGTCTGTAGTTTACCTTCACACACTAATTGGAATTAACAGCAAAAAAGTATTTGTACAAGATAACATACGGCAAATTCAGTCTCCTGTTCCTGTGGGGTTGTGGGCTGATTTAACTGTTCCTTCTCTAGAGTCTTTGTAACAATAGCTGACAACTGAATCTGATCTCTGTATCCTCCTCCTAAATCAAGATCTATACTTTCATATGTGGAGAAGGTAATGGATACGGATATGTTTACTAAAGGCATGCGTAAGAGATGCTAAGGCTTGAGGAATATGAGAAAAACAGATAATTGGAATAATTTTTTAGGTAATTACTGGTCTGACCAATCACACATTTATTGGGGGGGGTGTTTTGGCTTTAGGTTATCTTTTGTTTTGTTTTTGCTGAAGAGCTGATAACAGTGGGTTACTTGAATGCAAAAATATTTTCTTGGCAGAAGTCAAACATACATCTCTAAAAAGTTATATTTTCTCTCTCTCATTTTGTCTTCTTTGCCTTCCCTGTTATTGATGCACATAATAAAACACTAGGAAAAAAAGACAAATCCACCCAAAAGGTCAAAATCAATGATCCTTTTACAGATGGCACCTTTGGGAATCCTGGGTACTTTACCATCAGCTTGTGTTTGAGACTGTTACTTGAATACTTGTTTTTTGATGACGAAAATCAATGACTTCTTTAAAGAAGACACCCTTGGGGCTAGAGGGATGCAGACTTTGAAATGTTTACTAGTCTGTGACTGTCTCTGAAAGACTAATAAACATATTTATAAGTTTATGAGCTACTATTTAATTTTATGGATTGGAAATGGTGTATGGTTTTAACAAGAATATTTAGGCTAATGTGCCCCAATGAGGCACATTCTGTATTACTTTGCAAATTTGCATAGAAGTTCTGATCCAAAACTGATTGAAATCAGCAGATACATTTGCATTAGGTTTAAATTTATCCCTGTGAAAAAGTTACTGAAGTCAGTGGAGTTATCTTATTAATTAATTTGATCCAGTAGCCAAATAATAAATAAATTCTCAAAATAAAAATATAGAAAATGCATTTCCATGAAGATGAGAATTCTATTCCTCTCAGCAAATGTTGTTTCCTGTATATTTATATACAAATGTGTTTATTGTTACACTGAGCTGCAAAAGACATTTGCCTTTTAAAAAACAGATGTCCTTCACCTTATTTCTTTGCTACTAATTTATTAAGGGCAGCATAATTTACTTCAACACCAAGGCATATCTTCCTTGATTTTCTTGAACAAGCGGGGTTATAACAGGCTCTTGTAACTTAATAGGACGCTTGATCTGGCTATCCCGTGATGTGGCATTGAGGCTTTGGTGCTGGAGTCTGGAGAATCAGTTTTCTCACCAGCTGTGCAGACATAGATTTTGCCAGGAAAATTCTTCCCTTTCTTGTTTTCTTTCCCAATGAAAGCTTTAGAGTTGTTTTAGTCTTGTGTTTTGCATGTTGGTTTTCAGAGAATCAGCCACAGAAATGAGTTTTTAAATAGACTGGTAATGGACAGTAACCTTGCAGTAATTAGAACAAACTAATTTGTATTCGTTCTCCTTTGACTCTAGATCTAATCAGTAAATACAGTGATATAACATGTCAACCCTAACCAACCAAGTGCATTGAAAGGATAATGGTAGATATCATTTATGAATTAAAACATGGGAGATCATATATGACATTGAAAGACTTGCTGTATTATACAGTCCTTCCCAGTACTTACTGAGCTTGCTTGAAGTTTACTGATTTCAGCCTTGAAAATCACTATTATTCTGTCATGTTGAATGTCATCCTGTTCCTAAGACAGCAAAAATGCTTTGCTTTTGGGGACTGCAGGGAGAACTGCTGGATAATTGCTTCTGTTCCCCAACACTGTGCAAAAAGACAGAGAAAGGCTTGGAATGCCTCTGGAAATACTCAGTTGCAGTGGAGGTAGCTGGTGCATGGGATCCTTTCGTCTCTCTGCAGAACAGTGCATAATGAATAGTGCAGACACAAAGCTAGATGCTGCTCTTAAGGGAATAGTCTGTGCATCCATGCAGAATGAGGACTGCTCTTGTGCCCACTGTCAAATCGTCCTGACCCGCTGTAGGTTGACAGTAGTGGACAAGCTCTCACTTTTGTTCCTGAGCAAAATGGAATCTATTCTTTCCTGACTTCAAAAAATAGTCTTGAACAAAACCATGCTTATATCATTCACAACTGTTCTTGTGGCCATTTATTTTTTCAGTCTGTTCTCTTTGACAGGACAAGTTCTCAATCTCATTGTGTTTCATTTTCCCAACTATGTATTGCAAATGGTAAATCTTCTATCAAATTTTTGGCAATTTAAAGGTTATCTTCTTTAATTCTCAGACATAGTAGAGAGGTTGATTGGAGATTGTATATATAATTGTGGGTGAGGGTGAGGCTGAGCCCAGAAGAGTTGGAAAAAAACTGCCGCTAGAACTCAACAGTGTTGTCTGGTTGCTGGTTGGACTATGCAGCGGGAATATGTGAGATAGCTATACTTACTCTCATATAAGTGTCTGATGATGGTCACAGCTAGTGAGAGAATGTTGGGCTCAAGGGAATTTCTGATTCTTGGCTGCTTTTATGATACTAAGTTATGACTCCTGACTTCACATCATTCCCCAGGTTTCCAACACAGACTGGATGGGCTGCTTTGTGCTGCCTGAATTCTGTCATGGCTCAGAGTTTTCATATGTGGATGAGGGTACACAAGGTAATTATATCACTAATTTTTAGTTCTTGAACATGCTGGAAGGTTTTGACATTCTGATGATAGGATTCATTTCATTATAAGTATGATGTTGCCTCTGTGAATTAACTCTTTCTTGAAATGGAGACGGGGTGCAAATGTATTGTTGTACTTTCACTAAAATTCCCTGTGTCTTTTGGATGATGGGGGGCATTAACTTTTAAGAACCCTGCTGATGTTCAATTGCAGTTTGATGCAAGGAAGAAAGTGAGAGCTTGTCTTCAAACTCTTGTTTGACTTAAAGGCCATTAGTATTAAGTTTTATTTTCACACATATTAAGAAGTAAAAGTATAATTTTCTTCAGAGACTTTGCTAAAAGTCAGCTTAAGGATTTTGCAATTGAGGCAGTAATATGATGTTGTTGTTTTTTTTTGTTTTGTTTTTGTATACCTAAGTAAAAATACACTGACACCGCTTGAACAACTTGCAGCTCTGATGCTGTTTCACTTTAAGAGGAACAATTGGTGGAACTTGTTTGATGTTGGCAAGAGAGTCATGAATCCCAATAAGGCCATGAATACATTTATTATTAATTTTCTTCTCATTCATTTTTAATTTTCTGTCAGATAGAATCAAAGGCAGAATTGGTGACTTCAGTGTTTTCTACCTTGCTCTATTGGCTTCAGAAGTCCTTTAATAAGGCAATTATTTATTCTGGTCATCACTGGGAAATCAAAGGTGAGGAAATCAGGTCTATCTAAACCTTGTAGTGCATTAATTCAAACAGCACTCACATTGTTGGATAGAGTTCATATCTCTGGTTCTTTAATGTTACCTGGTTTGGTACCTTTTCACTTTAAAATTAGTTAGAATGGAGAGTTAGGGGAAACCACAAAAGGATTTAGTTTATAGGAGCAAGAATTACTAGAATCAGCAGGCATTCTGGCTTCTGGATGCAGAGCAGGCTGGCTCATTGTATCAGGAGGAGGCAAGTAGAGAATCTTTGAGAAGGATTTAACTAGTGCCCACAAGACTTCTGTTAGGAAGCTGTGGTATAGTACTGGCTGTAAATGTCTAGTATCCCCTAAAAAAAAAAAAGGAGCAGACCTGACTTCAAGGCAATTCTCTCATCTAAGGCAAAAAAACTCACAGAAGTCAGTGAAGCAACTTGCATACACTTTAGTGCATCAGGTTTTCAAATAGAATATAAAATGTTTGACTCAAGCACATAGTATTTCTATTTGTATTTTTTCAGCAAGTGAACAGAAGATAGGGAAAACAAGTCACTGGTGTAGGAATGTATGTGTGTGTGATTGAGGAGGAGGAGTTATCTGCAAAGACAGCCACTGAGTAGAAAAGTTAAATTTGTTTTCATTTAACAAACCTCCATTTTACCTGCACAGATTTCTGAGTCTGGTACGTTAGTGAAGTATTTCTTCAGCTCCATTTATTGCTTTGTGTATGTTATTGATAGGATTCTACCACAAGTAGGAGGTAGCATTTATTCCATTTATAGGAAGTATATGAAAATCTCTTATTCACACAGCTTAGCTATCAAGATGTTACTGCAGTCTCTTTCTATTTTGTTTTTGTTCATTCTTCAGAATTCTGGCCTTCTATGAAGTTGACTGAACAAGAACTGAAAAGGGGAGAACATATCAAACCTGACATTTAAAGGTTCAAACCTTCAATGTACTGAGCACATAGTCTAAAGAAAACAATTATGGAATTTTCTTGTCTTGTATCCTGAATTCTCCTGCAGAACTCCTTGACACTAAGCTGCCTTACTGTAACATGATGTAGTTCAAAAGTGATTTAATATTCCTCACAGAGCAGGTAACACTTCGCTCTAATGCTCTGCATTGAGCAAAGCAACAAAAGGCTATGGGAAAACATTTAGCCATGTGCTCCTGAGGAAAAAAAAATGCCTCTGTTCCTCCCTGTCTAATCTTTCTGCAGATCAGAATGCTATCTTAAGAAAGAGGAATATTGTACAAGTTTCCATAAGTTTTATGAGCCAATTATTACAGATATAATTGTCAAAGGTTATAGAGGTCTATAGATGTCTTATTTTCCATAGGCCAGTGCCCTTTTATGCTCCTCTTTTATAGTTAATGCAATGCCTCATTTAATAATTGAAAAATAATTTATTTGAGTTAAATTGCTTTTTTAGAAGGCATAATCTTATCATTCTCATTTTTATAAGAAACTCATTTTAATTTGTTTGCTGTGCCATTCTCACATGAATTTAGGAATTTAATGGAGTGAAAATTGAATGCTGATGGCATCAATGAAATTATTAATTTGGTAACCGAAAGATTTATTTGGTTGATTTAGATGGAATTTTCAATACCCAGTTATCTTTGGACTCTATTAAAGAATGAAGTTTCACCAAATAACAGTTCTCACTCAGAGTTCCCCAGGATGAATTGAAAAGGACATCTTCATTATTGCTATTGATGTTAATGTGGAAATCACTTACTATTAATAAACCTGAGGGACAGATAAAGGCTTATTTTTACTCTCAGGAAGCTAGGTACCAAACCCTAAAAATGTTATCTTAGTGAATGAATAATACCTGCAGATAGCAGACTTAGCCATGCAGAATATTTTAACAGTTTACTTTTATCTCTACCAAGTCCCATTAGAATAATTTAGTGGGATAAAAATATATTTCAGGCATGAAAATAAGTTTGATTTATTTATTTTTTAATAAAGGTAGCAATATAACTATATAAAGAGACTATCCGCAAACTTAGGTATTAGCATAGAAAAGAAGTGTTTACTTTCTCTTGTATTCCATAAGCCTTTATGTTTAGGGTTATGAAGAACCCTTCCATAAGAAATGTGATTTCATGGGTTCCGATTTTTTTTTAGAGTTATTAAAATAACTGTTTGGCACTTTAAACATTTATCTGTTTATATATGAACACTTATATATTCAACACCTGTTGCTTCCTGAAGAGTAGTAAACAGCAATAGGATAGCATGCCCTAGTGAAAGAGTTGCAGTCTATTTTGTTGTTTAAAACTGTCCTAGCTGATACATCTATAATCTAGAGTAATGTGCAGTGTTTCTACATTTGATAAATGTAGAGGAGAAGGAACTGCAAATTAAGCATTAATTGTCTTGAAGTTGGAGTTGGAGTCAGGTGTTGAAGGAAATCTTAGTGCTTTTAGAAGTCAAAATGGAACATATTCTTAAACAAACACTAAAAATATGGAGTATGCAACTAATTGTACAGCAACTAGAAATACTAATACTGTGTCATGGATATAAATGATCATTTTCAGTTCATGGATATGTTATGTTACTGTAGCACCTGGAAGTATGTTGGGTATTAAATGATTCCTTGGCAATATAAGAATGGAAACTTATTTTGCTGTCATAAAACAGCAATATATATATATATATATACACATATACATACGTACATATATATATATATATATACACACATATACATACGTACATATATATATATATATATATATACATATATATATACATGTATATTATTTTTAATGAAAGTTACATAGTTTGAGAAAGTCAATTCCTTTCAGAAGTTATGTTCCCAGAGTACCGGATATTAATTGCTTGATTCTTCCACTTCTGATCCTCACATACTGAGGCAGCATATGCTCTTCTAGCCAGATAATATTCATCATGTGCCAGTTATGTGATTTTATTTATACGTTCATTGTTTCTCCATTCAGATTTGGTTTTGAAACAAGGAAATGAAAGATTTAATAATTTAAAATAGGCTGGAAAACAGTTAAATTTCCCCTTGCAAAAGGACATAAATACTTAAAGAGGAACAAAACATATCAAGGTCTCTGCATTGGTTTACTTCAGACTTGGAAGTGTTCAAATGTAGCAAACAGTAAGCAATGCAGTGGATGGGTAACCCACAGGCAGTCTAGAGCCTTGAATCTCAGTGCCTATTTACTCTTTATTCACTCTCTAGCCAAAAGAGTTATCCTGTAGTTCATCTTTTCCTTCCAGGGCTCTTCTTTCCCCAAACCTCTTTTCATTCAGTGAAGGCTCTTTTTTCTTTTATACCCAAAATTTGTCTTTGTGCCATAGTGTAGGCTGTCACGAGCAAGTTCTGCCTATGATCAGAAATTTCTTTGGCAATTTATACCTACTTTGCTCTACATCCCATTGATATCAGTATGTATTTTCCCATCACTATCAAGAAGCTTTGATTCTAGCCTTATAGACAGACAAGAAATTACACAGATGCTGTGATTAGTACACAGTGAGGTGTCTACATTAAAATTAATCTCCCTCTGTCCACAACATTAGTAATGCCAACAAGGGTGATTGAAGTAAAAAAAAAAAAAAAAAAAAAAAAAGTTTTGTTTAGTGGCCTAAAAGAGAATGCATGATACATATATAATATATACATGTATATATGTGTGTGTGTGTGTATATACATTTACACATACATTTAATTAAATGTTTAGCATTTCGCTGTTGAGTTCCAGGTCAGAGTCAGGGGGTAGTGCTCCGTGAAAGTCACATGTTTTAGAGGTTATAGCTTAATTCCTGATACAGAGCCCTCTACCCTTCTGTACTGTATGCAATTTGTGCAACCGGGTACAGGTGATATTCTCTGCTTAGGAGACACTTGGAACAGAAATAGCATGAAGACTAAAGCACTGTTTTATTGTAACAGACAATATCTCTCTCAGATCAAGGAGGGCATCATTTCTAGAGCAAGGAGAAGAAGTGCTGTCTACAGTATATCTGACCTTTGTATAAAAGTTTCAGCTTCTTGTAGTTCCACTGTCAAGCTTCACAAAGAAAAATATGTCCAGGACTTGATGAGTGAAGTTAAAGAAAAAAATATGTGTTTTAGACATGGGATAATTGGTAATTGAGAAGGGCATTCACATATCATTCTCCTCCTTATTGTCACGTGAATTTTGATGGGTTCTCTAACTCCCGTAAGATCATTTAGGGATAAGTAGAAGGGTTACAATTCCTCTTTCTTTTCCCTTCCTTTCACCCTTAGTAA